CAGTTGCAGTACAGAGGAACTTAAAGAAACTGAAGAATGCTATGCTAATTAGATGCTTTAATTAAGGGTCCCACGCTCATTAAAGCCTTTTGAGTGTCAGTAGATCATCTCAAACATTTGACCCTTTTTTAAGTCCTTCTAGTCCAAAATCATAAATAAGTGTTTGAATTAAAGGAACACTTTTTTTCATTGCAGGCAATGTTCCAGCCATCTGACTTCAACATAACTGCCTCCACATGGGGGGGCTGTTATGTTGAAGTCACAGTCTCGCACCACATATGTTTATCCATCACAAAACGTAAACACTGATTCGCCGCATCATTCTCCATCAGAGACGAACAAAGCAGTTCCTCGGAGAGTGAAAGTCTTGTGAGGAGACACAATGGCTGCTGTTGTGAGCAGTCAATGTGTTTTTGAAACTTGTATTTTGACTCAAAGTCTTTTATAAACGAGCCAATTTTCCTTCTGCTCACAGTTTTTTAATGCATGCTGCACGCTGCCAGATGTCTGACCACAGGAATCTTGGCCCGAGCATTTGTCTGTATGTGTGTGAGAGAGAATAATTCACAAAACTGTCAGATTTAAAATATCTGAATTATCTTATAAACCTAAAATCCCTTGATGATAACCAACTTCAACCTTAAGAGTGGAAGTGATTTTGATAAAAACATTATTGGTATTAAACTAAATAAACCTCTTAGAATTAACATGAAATGTTTTTGGTCCATACTTTTGATATCTCATCTTATCTATCTTATCGATTACAATTGTAATCCCTGTGCATAACATCAAAAAGTGCACAATAAAGACACATGCATGCAGGATGACTTGGTCAAATAAACCCTGTGTACAGATATGTGGGATGAAAAGGTAAAGAAAGACATAGCAGTGGTGAAATGAGTGGATGGGGGGGTATAAAATAAGTTGGACAGATAAAAAGTAAGACTGAGAGTGAAATTGACTTCTGAAGTCAGAATGTATCACTGGAACAGACAGAAGACACAGAAGTGATGAAACTCGGAAACACGCATAAAGAAGCGCCCTGGTCCTGCGGGGACTTTTACACCTTCCCAGTGAATCACAAATTACGATGTACAATGTTTTCCTCCCTTCTTCTCTTCCACTCCAGATATTTGTTTCAGGTTTTTCACCAACCTCCCATGGAGAAATCACATCCTGGCACAGCTCAAGAGATCAATACAGCTACACGATGTGTATGAATGATTTCACGGAGGCAAACAGGGGTGAAAAACAGCAGATGTTACAGATATAAGCAAACATAATGCAAGAATTATACCATGAGGATGGCAACAAACAAAAAAATACAAGCACAACAGGATGGAAATCAGCTTATTACAGATGAAGAATGGAAGAGAACAACAAAGACATGAGATGAAAAAGAAGATGACGACACGGTTGTCACCACAGGTAGAAGAGGACGTAGTCGACATAGCTACCTAGAAAGGCCATGACACAGATGCTGATGGCGAACATGGAGCTGAGGCTGAGGCTGTTGCCGTCCTCGTGGAACATGGCGAGCGTCACCTCGCAGTGACGCCCCCGGTAGCCCTCGCTGCAGTGGCACGAGTAGCGGGACGGGGAGTGAGCCACACAGGTGCCGTGGCGACAAGGCCGGCTGGCGCACAGGGTGTAGACGCATACTTTGCCCAAGGAGCTCTCTTTGGTGAGGTGGCCTGGAGGACACCTGTGTGGAGAGGAGACAGCGATTTGTAGCCAGAGACAAGAGACACTCGAGAAGTTTGCAGATGAAACGAAGACTGAAATCTACAGAGCTCTGAAACCTGCGCTGACAGTGTATAAAATAAATCCCTCGGGAGTTGCACCTCTTATATCAGATTCAAAGATATGCTCTTTGAAGGTTATACAGTGTCGACTGAACTATAAGAAGAAACACAAAAGAGAACCCGAGAAGCTAAGATTGGCTTTGCAGTTCAAGTCCCTCGGTATATTTGTACAAAATATCCCCTGAATATCTTTCACCCCTGCGTCTCTCAGTGCTTTGTATCCTGAGGCTGTGCTGCAATCACAGAATATGGATATTCAGCCGCAGTGAGAAGTCCCTCACTTGAAATGGCAGACAGGAGACACAGTGGTCCTGCAGAGTTTAAAGGGGCGGCTGGGACTCAGATAGTCGCTGCAGTTACACACTATTCTCTGAGGCTGACACACTATTAGACACGCAGTGCAACTGGGCCGAGCTCAGGCCCAGCCGCCATCTGGTGGACACTTTGATTTCAAGGGTGTAGCCAGAAACTCACCAGAGCATTAAACACACTTCGATGCACATACTGTACGACTTACCCAACGAGTTTATGATCTGCATAAATTAATTCATGTTAAATTAATGAGTGGGCTAATTATTTAAGTCGTTAATAATTAAAGTGCATCCTCTTTATGTATGTACTCAACCGTCTTTACGATATGGAGTGGACACAAACAACTTTCACCTCAGTGGTACTAAATAATTGGAAACTTTATCGGTTAATGCATATTTTACTAATGCTTAATTATAGGTCATTAATAAGAATGATTCTAGGCTACAGTTTCAAACGCTGGTAAATCGTTGATCTAGATGAATAAATCATGAGTTTCACACTTTCTAATAGGGAGTAACTCCTGATGATGTGGTGTGACTGGTTGCCTTAAATTTAAATTCTGCTTTTAAAAAGATATAAATGTGCTTGCTCTAAAATGCATCAGGAACTTATAAACTCTCAAACTGTCCAAAAACATTCATGGAGATCAGACAGGCGACATATTCAGTGTCTTTAAAAACTCTTGTGTAACTTAATTTTATTCCCCTTTGATTTCATGTCCCTTATTCCCTAACATTTTATGACCTGCTTCTCTTTTTATATAAAAGTGTAACTATTATTATTAAATGTTTTTCAGATGTTGTGTTCTTGTAAACAAGTCCAGAGGTCCATCTACTGCATGTTGTTAAAAAGTGGTGCCAAACTTTATTCAAAATGACGAACTCAGATTTCTTTGGCCACATGGGGGCAGCACTTGCATAGCAACAACTCTAAGTTGCTATTGGCTGACGTGTGTTAATTTACAGCTCATTTACACGTCCAGCAGTTTCAGAGCAGCCGTGTTTCTGGTCACCTGATGGATGTAAAACGCAGATTTTTGGTCTCCTGGGGGAAATATGTAGCGCTTTAGCTGCTAAATGCTCCAATATATTTTCCAGCAAATCAACAGTTTGAGCTGTTTGGTGCGAAGTAGGACGTGTTTTAGAGCTTCTTCACTAAAGTGGCCAAAATAAATGGGTTCATCAATACAAACGAGCCCTGTCGCAGTGTCATTACATTTCTCATTAGAGAAACAGAAATCATAGCTTCAGGACTCCTTCCTGGGTCAATTTACAAACCCACTATATTGTTATTTATATAAAAATATGTATCTGTTGTACTTTAATTGTTTTAGCTCATTATTGTTAGCATAAGCACATTGAGGAGTATTTTGGTGTAATAGGACGCATACCTCCGCCAAGGCTAGCAGCAGATCTCACCATGTTAAAAAACTTTTCATGCTGCACCCGAGGTTTTGTGTAATCCTGCTGACTAAGAAACAAACATTGTCGGAGGAAATTAGGTTTGTTATTATTATTATCATCATCATCACGGTAACTCTGTTGTCCATATGTGAAATATTACTTTTTGCGGCTGATATTTCTGTACTGCTGCACCTGCAGTCTGGTTCATGGAAGATTTGTCTTAATTGGATCTTTTTTTGTCTTGCGTTGCTTTGGAAAGTCATGCATCTACGTGCTGATTGCCAGGCCTGGTTTAAAGCTGACAAATGATTCAACCCAATGTGACCCACCTTGTAGCAGCTTCAGTGTTTCAGTCTACCCCCTGTGATAAATCCCTACAGTGCAGGTGTGTGTGGTTTCTTCACTTCATTTGTTAATATAATTTGCAAGTTGAGCGTTGGCGTTACTAATTTTATTACGAGCAAGGCTGTGTTACCCCATCCTTGCCTCTGGATGTATGGCTGCAGATATCAACATAATGTGCCTGCATCCGGAGAAGCCTCATTTTCAACCCAGCTTTTTGACTCTGTGTATATTTACTGCACCTGCACTCGTGGTGTCTCCAGAGGTCCACGCAGACCAGGGGAGCGGAGCAGTGATGTTTCCTGCAGGCGTCTGAAGAACAGCCGACAGAGACGCCCTGCGAGGTGACCACCTGAAGCCCTTCTGAAGGCTGCTCTCTGTCCAGGGAGAGGAAACGGCCGTTGAATCTTACATCTCGCAAACAGCCTGGTGAAGAGAGAGAGAGAAACAAAGGAGGAGATGAAAAAGAGAAAGTTTACAATGCCAAAAGACACACTCAAACACCAGTCCTCAGGCAACATCTTTTATGAACTCGCATTTACACCACGGCAGGGGTGTAAACTCTAATGCACAAACGCACACACACAAAAACCGACTCGCTGACACACCTGCAGACCCCTGCGCGCTCTCACGCACACAAACACACAAACAGCCCAAGGCTAAGCTGTCAGCATGCAATGCTTTTTTTTTTAAATTTTTTTTAGGAGGATATTTTCTCTGCTGGTTAGTTTGCTCACTCTGTGGGAAGTGCATGGTCTAACACATCATTTAAATACAGATCAGAGTCACTGACTCACTTTATCTCATCTCCTTGAAACTAAGGGATCAAAACACCTTTGGGCCAGGCTGTGAAATGTAGAAACACCAGTATGTGGGAAAGATAAAACTGAATCCTTGATGTGCCTATTACATTTAAAAGGTGTACAAGTGCACTGTTTTTGGATTACATTTTAATTCATTTAATAATTATCCTTTCACTTTTCCACTCATCTAACAATTCATCCATTCACTCATTTATCTTATTGACGTTCACCCCGTCTGATTTGTAGCTTAACCCACCGAGGAAGCTCCGGTTGTGTCCTGAGGGAAAAGAGTTTCCAATCATCACCGCCGAGGGGTCGATAATGATTTCCTGACTCCGCCCAGGTGAGACTCCAACCTCTCGCCGTCCTCCGCCTCCATCCAGTTGCAGGGTGAACTCTCTGCCGTACCGATCCAGCGTCACGTCGTGCCACTCTCCGTCGTCAAGGCGATGGTAGGGCAGCGTGATATTGTAGTCGCCATCCCCAAGGTTGTAGAAAACAGCCAGGAGACCCTGAATAACCTGAGAAAACCGGCGTCACATTTGAGGTGTCAATACCAGACCAGTATATGGGTTAGCCAATATTATCAGCTGATATAAGCCTTATTCTGTGGTGTTCCCCAAGGCACTGTCCTCGGCCCTTTACTGTTTGATAAAATCCCATTTGAATCACCTTTTATCTTGTCTTTCTGAAATAAAATGTCCTAAAACCTTCTCAAACTCAAAAACAACTTTGTGAAAACAAAAGTGAGGTTATTCTCTTCGGTCCATCGAAGTCCATCCCCATTATACAGAGAGATGTTGGATCCCTGGCATCAAACATCAAGCCTGCAGCCAGAAACCTGGGTGTAATGTTTGACAAAACAAATGACAACCGTTGTTCAATCATGTTTGTCTATCCCTCTCACTCTCTTTGCTGTTATTTCATCTTGTTTAGATTATTGTAATACAGGGGTGAGCCAAAAAAAAAAAGTTTGAGTAAATAATTCACTTATACGCTCAATTTAGAGTCTTTAAAGTAAATATAAAATCTCAATTACATTTCTTTGTCATTAGGGTTTGATAACAAAATCATTGAATCATCATATGTTTCAGCAGTTTTTTACCCGCAAATATTGGAATTGGCATCAGCCCCCCAGAAATCCATAACTCTCCCACTAGAGACTTTTGCAGTGTTGTAAAACAAGCTGCTCTGTTATGTCATTAGCTGCTTAAACAGTATTGTATTAGTGTGGATTTCAAGGCTTTCCTTTCATTGTCTGGATGAAATTGTAAAATCGACTGACACAAATTCTTGACTGACAAACCTGGACGCCTGCCACAGACATGTTGATGGGCAAAAACAGATCTCGTAGCAGAGCAACATTAGAGGAAGTAGGCCAGATCCCGTGGTGTAGAAAAGGCTGGGCCAGGCAAACATTGTGAAATGTAGCTATACCAGGAAAAGACACTTGTGGTGGATCTGCCAGAAATGTGGCTTCAAAATTTCAGTGGTAAAAATGAATACGGTAATTTTTGCAGCCGTGATGCTTTGCTTTGCAGCGCTGGAGCTCACATCACTGCATGGCAGGAGCCAGAGTCTTCCCGAAGGGAAGGTATACAAGAAACAACAATTATCTTCAGCAGTTAAGGATGAGCGAACACAATGGACTTAACCAATGAGGGGCTCCCATAACTGCAGCTTGTACATGTCCAAAGCTTAATTGGAAACAGTGGGGCAAGATAATTCACATTCAGCCCAGTCTGCATTAACTATTGCTCCCTCAGCATGGGCATCTCAAATGCCTCTCCCCCACTGGACGTGCGGACACACGCACATGCACAGTACGCACACGCACAGAGCTGACTCTGCTCTCCCCGCTGTCTCATCCTGCCCTCAAGTCCACAACAAAAATGAACAAAGGACAAAGAACTCAATCAATATACAGGAAAAAAAAAGAAATCAGATTTTTTTTTTATACAAACTTTCCTCCGTGCCTCCAGAGATCTACACAATCACTGTTAAGCACAAAAAGTTCAAGCGACTTTCTGAAGTCGGAATTTCTAAAGAACCTTTCGAACTCAATTCATTAATGCAACAAAAAAAAAGAAAGAGAAGCTTTATTGTTCAGAGTTTCACTATTCTTACGGGTTGGTGGTCTCTGACAAACTAGTGCACATAAGTTGCTCTGAATGGTCCTTCACAGACTGCATTAGATAAATGTTTTCTTTACAGAGACACCGTACTCCTCAGAGAGCTGAACGCTGTTTATACCCAGCTGGCCCCTTGTAACCTTTGTATGAAAGTGTTGTTATTTATTCAGTGTGCACTCTATCCAATATCTACCCTTAAGAAAAAGAAAGGGGGGGAGAGAGAGACAGTCCTTTAAATTAGGGCTTGTTGTCTGCAAACACACCAGGCTTGTGCTCAAAGTGTTTTTAAGAGCTTTGAGACAACAGGGCTTAAAAAAAAATGCTTCAGTGTGCTGTCTCAGACAGACACCAGTTGTCTTTTACATCTCACCAATTCAGCTCCACAGAGGTTTTCATAGCCCACATACAGTAAAGGCTACAGCCTCTTCCTGTCACTGTGAGGCTTCAGCAAGAGGAGAGGACAATGCTGCTTCTCCTCATGTTGTGTAAAGACCCAGAGAAGCACAAGAGACGAGGCTGACGCTTTGAACAATGCAGTCTAACAAATGACAGTCACAACAAAGACAAGATGCTTGTCAGAACCAGTGCTGGTGTGGATTATTCAACAGAGACTGTAACTCACCTGTGAGTTAGCCACAAGTACGAGGCCTGACTGAACCATTTACCTCCAGGTGCTGATCACTTTCAGCCTGTCAGTCACCGAGACAGAAGAAAGACTGGCTTCATAGCCACTCAGGAGCGAGTCGGGCAGCAGGGGTGTGCTTCAATAAAGGTTTGTCAAAGTGAAGCACACTTTACTCCTGAAGAAAACGCGCAGCGTGAGCACCTCTCCACCGCGGCTGTGGGAAACGAGCAGCATGACTTTGAGCTCACCACTTGAAGCGAACTGTGTCCAAGCCCTTAAGTACAGAGCAGGGGATCTGACCTCCGCTCTGCGCTCGGACTACAGTGCAAACGTTTCCTTGCCTTTGCCAAAACCAAATTGTGCTTGAAACATTAAGCAGAGACAGAAATAACCTTGAATAAAAGAGCAGCATTCTGTGGATTTACCAAAAGACCTTGTCGGGAACATACATATGTCAATCACCAGCCCCCTCAGTATCCACCCATGTGTCTCCAACCCCCCTATTACTCACTCTCAGCCTGACAAGCATTTGTAGCAATAATTGTGCACGCCCTAATCATCACTTTAGGCTCACAAACAAGACAATCAGAGCTGTCAAGGTGGAGGGGGGTGACCGGCCATGACTCACCTCTAAACGAAGGTATTCATTCTGCTCCTGGGAGAATAGACTGAGGATGACACCGGCGCCGGCACGTGTCCGGACCCCGACCTGGACCCTGGTCTGGCGTGCGGGCAGGGACCAGGAGAGCTGGAACTGGATGTGGCTGCGGCCGTCAAAGGAAAACTCTGGAGCCACTTGTCAATCAAAAACAAAACAAAGACTTGTTCAATTAATTCAGCTGTCACGTGGGAACTTGGATATCACAGCGAGGGCGTGCTGTTCTACCAAAGCACTTTACGTAAGGCGAGGTTATCTTCCCACAGCAGCACAGTGACATTCTGGAACACACAATTTCCCACGCTGCCTATTTGAACACACTCTGAAGTTTCAAATCTCCGGCTCCACAGAGATCGCACTGTACTTTCCATGAAAACCTCACGGTCAATTAAAAGTAGCTCTACATGCTCACCTTGATCACACAGTGGCCCCGTAAACCCCTGCTCACAGAGGCAGCTGAAGGAGCCCCACTTGCTGTGACAGCGACCCCTCTTGCCACAGGAGGGAGGCTGCTCCATGTTGGTGCATTGGTCATCAATAAGAGAGCAGCCTGGCACAGTGTTCGAGGATTCAGCTGGGGAGCCAAGGTCGTACAGCTGAATTGAAGAAGGAGAGGAGGAGAGAAAGTATGAAGAGGGGAATAAATCAGCAGGAAATGAAAAGGCAGGATGTCTCTGTCCTTGTAATCATAGACGATAAGCAAAAGGAAATGTGATTGCAAATTGATAATTACATCTTATCATTAAATGTAAGATACAATAAAATGATATGTAATTGCAGATATATTGCATTTTGATTTTGCATTTCTGAAAAGTTATATTTTCATAATAATATCGTCTCTTTTTAAAATAAGAAGAAAATCAATTTTTATCGATCCCCCACAGGGAGGTTTAACTGCGACAGCGGCAAAGTAAAAAAAATACAGAAAATAAGATGTAGACCTAAACTAGAAATACCAGAATACTGAATTCATTCTAAAAATCTGCTAAACACCAAAGACAGATGAAACACAACTAATCAGAATTAATGTTGCAAGACAATTAAAAAAAAAGATTTAATTTGCACCAATGAAATGGTATCGAGCAGTGACCGTTAAGTTGAAATGTGTCTGTAGAATGTCACAATGTTCATGCCTTGCTCCTCTAACTCAGTTTGTGGTAATCGACCAAAAAACAAAGCAACGCACCAACAAAATAAAACATGGATGCAAACAATGCACGTGAGAAAACTGCACAATGCATCACAGAAATCTCCACAGGGCATCTTTAATTACAACTCTACAATTCGATGCAGGACTATCATGTGGAACAAAACATTATTACTGCTTTCAGTTTATGATCTCAATGCTTCCTCCACAACTGTCCTTTTTGGGATCAAGTATAAACTGTTCTTCTACGATAAAAAGGTATGAAAACTTCGATGGAATATATTTATACTTGGCATTGTTGGCTGCAGACACACAGTGAGGGGGACTTTGACCAGGAGCGAAAGTGAGTGACATCATTCTCCTATTGATGTAGAGTCTTCCAGAACTCAAACAGCCCGTCTTCCACGGATGCAATATCGCGATGGAGTCATCTAAACAGGCCACAAGCCGCAAGCCACGCCACAGACCTTACCTTGCTGTCCACGAGCAGGTTCCTTATACAGCCGGTATAGTGTTTGTGATGCAGCTGCGGGTATTCATATGATATGTTCCTGCTGACCCCTCCGAGTTGCAATACATGGCTCCCATTCAAGTACCTGGAAATGAAAAAGCAACCATCAATATACAAGACGAAAATGAATCAGCCACCATGAAAGATCTCATGGCTACAAATCAAAACACACCTCGCGATAGGAAGACACACAAAACGCAGGCAGAGGAGAAGACGCACACACACACACACACACACACACGTACACACGTACACACACACACACACACATTTAAAAAATCTTTTCCTGCTGAGGCTGTCATCGCTATTGTTGGTTCCAGACAACAACTATGACACCTTCTTCTTCTATCTTTTTTCCCTTATTTTGAAAATATATGCATTTGCCCAAAACGATCAAAACATTCACCAATTCAGCAAAAGCAATTCTGCCACTTTCAAAAGTCAGACTGGCTCCACACGAGGAGATGAAACACTTTCACTTTCAGCCCGTTAACTTATAGTTAACACATATTCCCTATTTAATGCAGTTACTATCTGTATTACCTAATAAGTTGAGGGGTGGACACACAGTGAAAAGTTATTCAAGGTTCTTAAAATGTATAAGTTATTAAAATTAATAGCAGCTCTTATGTAAAAAATTTTCTAAATTCATTAAATGTATTTACACAACAAAACAATGAGCGCAGTGGCAGGCCGTGCTCACGATGGGGATAAACAAACTCAGCTGTGGCAAAGCAAAACGTGGCTGTTTGCAGAGACGTAGTCAGAAAGGTTAGCTGGCGGTTTTAAGGATTATACCGGAGGATTTCATCAGCAGTTTCTTCCCCCCAGAGAGGAGGACTGCCTGCTCCACTGAGAAATTGAACCTCGAGTGGGAAAGAGCCTGATTTGATTCTGATAAATGATACAGTTTGTACATAAACACCATTTTACATATTATTTACTGAACAAAGTGTTTCTGGGAAATTTAAGGGCGGGGGGGGGGGGTTACAGTTTGCAAAATAAACAGTATATTGAGGACATTTCTGTTTCTGAATGCTGGACCAACTTTGTGAAGTGTAATCTAAATGTTAAAGATTCATTTTTAGGGGCAGGTCAGAGGAGGAGGCAGTGGTTCGCACTGCGGCCCCACAGCAAGAGGGTGTTCACATGGATACTCCGGCTCCCAAAGAGAGCGCACAGGTTAAATGTGAGGGTGAATGGTTGCTTTACGTTGGCATCATGTCCAGGGTCGCTCCATGTCACCTGGCTACAGCTCCACCGACAACCCTTAATAGATAATGGGTAAAGTTCAGACAGAGCTCGGAGTTCTACCGCTGCTCCTTCACATTAAAAGGGGACAGTTGAGGTCCGGGTGTGTAACCGAGCCTTCAGTTGGAGGTTTACTGGGAGGGGACCCCCGGGTGGACCCAGAACTCGCTGGGGGGAATAGATATCCCATCTGGTCTGGGAACACGTAAGGATACCGCAGGAAGAGCTGAAAAGCACAGCTGAGGAGACGGACGTCTGGAATATGCTACTTGACTTGACTGATGGATGGATGGACATTCATTGTACAGTCCCACCTCAGCCTTAAGACGTTATATAATCTTTTCAGACCCTGGTTCCAAACAAACACTGCATGACGATGAGTCTTTTGAACAATAGCAAACATTAGTTGATGCAAATGGAAAAATCAACAATTGCAATTAGGAATGTTAGTAAGTGCTACATGCCAGCACATAATGAACACAAATAAAACAGCATTAATATGAGACAGCAAACATATCTTTGAAGGATTGAAGCTGGTTTTAATGAGTATTTCCTGCTTGGAATCCTCAGTGGAAGTGGCTCCTTATAATGTGCTTATATATTGAATGTACCAGATTTATTTACCTGATTTAAATACAGCATCAGTCTGGATGTAAAATAATGACTCTATTACACATTTTTACCAACTTACAAAGTGCTGCTGCTTCTGCTGTGACTGCTAATGCTCTGCTCTGTGGAGAACTGTTTACCCCTGTGGGGACACGGGCCATTTAGACACTGTCCCTATGGGTCTTGCTTGCTTTTAGTTTTAAAAACAGCGAACAGAAGAAAACCTCAGTAGATTAGTAGTTTGCAACCACAGACAAACCCCAGAAGCATCTCTGGAGAGTTTCTAAAATCTTTTTGTTGGTTACTTCAACCATAAATTCTTTAAAAAATGTAGCCACATTTTATTTAAATATATTTATACGTAAAAGATAAAATGAATTATTAATCTGACGATTTATCACTGGTGGCTTGAGGTGTTTGTTGGCTTTTTGGGGGGATTTGGACTGTTTTCTTATATTGTGCAGTGCTGGTCGGACTTGTTTCATTGAATTATTGATCTTACTTGTCCCTGTTGGGCGTGACCCCTCGGATTTCACAGGACGAGCGGTCCTCTGTCATCGTCCATGAGTCCACGCCTTCAGTCTCCATGACAATGGCAGTGGAACATCGATCGAGAGTGAAGCGCACTTCCTTTAAATTGGGTGAGAGTGGAAAGAGGTCACCGCAGCTGCATGCGTGGATATGTGAGTCTAAACAGTCACTGCCAGGCATTATCTACATGTTACAGAACGTATTCTAATCTTCTTCACGCACAGAGAGAGAGCCACGTGTAAAGGTGCCAGCACAAATGTACTTCTCTTACTTTACTGTTGCTCCTCACGTCAAGGCGATGCCAGCGCCTGTCCGCCACACCGACGTTATTCGTTAACTGGAGCACCAGGGTCTCAGAGCCGTGATTCATTTTCAGACTGGGTGTCCCACCAATCAGCTCTGAGGAGAGAAGAGTTCCCAATTAACACTTTAAGCTACTCTTTCATTTTTTATTTAAGGAATTAAAAAAACGCCAGAATTTGCAGAGTGGTGAGTTTGGGCAAGAAAGTGAAAAATAAAAATCCTCAATGGGCCAAATTAAATGGGTTCTTCCTTGACCCATACTGCATCCTTCCACCAGGTTACGTGTAAAGCTATTTGGTTGTTTTTGTGTAATCTTGCTTATGGGCGAGGGTGAAAACATAACCTATAAAAGCCACGACTCCTACAGATTTGCAGTGTAGAAAAAATGACTCAACTTGCTTTCACAGACAAAATGCACAGACGAGGTCAAGAAAAAAAACTGATGAAATATGTTGCAAAAACAAGATGCAAATAACTAGTTTGTGCAGGCACGGGGAAAAAACCCGGGAGACATATGAAAGAGTCACACCTCAAAACAAACAAAATACAAAGATGACAATACGACGCTGTATAACACAGCTGGATTACAGAAGGGAAATCTGATTGTCACCAGAACAAAGGGTGACGGGAAAATTGGCTGTAAAATAGAGAATAATAAAAAGGATAAGTTCGCCAGAATTACTGAACTCTGGGTGATCCTGAGTAATAATGACAGCGTTTCAATGAGACGTTGCAAGTAAGAGGTTTTTTTTGTTACATCTAATTTTTAAATGATGTGAGGCCTCATAAATGAAATTGAATTCACCCTTATCATATTGAGGTGGAGGCAGATATAAAAAAAAATCCATTTGCATAGCAAGATACGACCAATGGTAAATTAGAAAGTTGTTATTGTGTCACTTGGGTGAAAAGAATGGTAAATTGAAATCGTGCATATTCCCGGTGTGTGCGTCTGCATGTCTAGATATTTACAAGTATTAACAATAGTGACAGACACTGTCATCAAAAATACACAAATTATACTGGTTTCTATCATATTTCATAATATTTATTGGGGCCACGAAGAGCTCCAGCGATATTTTACACAGAAATTATGATGTGGATACTTAACAACAAATCACTTTACCACTATATTAGAAAGTAACACATCATTACTGTAATGATGCGTCTATTAAGTTTGGTTTCAGGGCACCGAAAAATGATTCTTCTGACTCTGTATTCAGAAATATGTTGCAGGCATGAAGCTTTGTGCTTGACCAGCTGTGCTTCACCCCCGTTCAGGGAGATTAAAAATGCAACCGCTGTCCGTCACCTGCAGGAGTCACGTCCGAGCAGAATACACCCTGCTGTCGTGTCCTTGAGTAAGACGCTGCCTGTCTAACTGTGTCTGGTCAAAAGTCGAAGCACTGCTCTGAAGCTGAAGCAGGTGGCGAGCACTAACACTACGACAAAACACAACATACACACACTACGCAGTGAACTGCCCGTGCAGCATCACATTCACTCAGGAGAGAAAGTGCCCAGCACACTCACAAACTAAATTTGCCTCATATATCTGATTAGCTACCACTCAAAATTAAGACAAAATTAAGCCTCAAGCTTTAGTGCAATAACAGCCCAGAGGCCCCTCGACACACATGATCCAGACTCATTCTTTACCTATGGCCATATAGTCCTCAGCATCCCCAGGCATGAGAGTGGCTACTGGCCCAGCATACAGCAGCAGCCCGTCGTCCTCCTCCGTCATAAACTCCAGTGAGAGATGGCTATCAAAACAAGGCCTTATGGGGGGAAACCAGGCATAGCCGTCACCAAGGAAACTGAGTCTCGTCTGCTGACAGTCTGGACCCTCAAGCTGTGGGGGGCAGTGACACCTGGAGCAACGAGGAGAAAAGAAAGTGAGAAAAATCAAGGGGAGACATAAGGAAGTAAATAATCAGTGATGTTCTGCGCCCTGAGAAATCTTCACTTTCCGGTGTCTGGATCGTCGGTGGCGCAGGCAGGAGAAATTCACTCTAAGAAAATGCTTTTATCAGTCAACTGGCTTTGCATGAGCCAGGAATCCCTGAATATTCAGCTCTACATTAAATCAATTAGCCACGAACAAAACATTACTTCATTCTATTCTTTATCTATTGCAGCTGCCCAAGCTGAACCCTCTGGAGACTGTTCCTGCTCGGCACATCACATCTCCTTTGTTAGGCGATAATTAATTCTATTTCTCTCACTTCTTTCTCGTGCCGCACCACCACTGATGTCCTAGACTTTTTCTCACCTATCCCCACCTGCCCCCTTCTCCCTCTCTAGATTTTAGATATGTGTGGTATATATATATATATATATAAGATATAGTAAAGAGATTGTCTTGCCAACTGCTTATATATTTTGTTTCGAGTGCTTGGAGTGTAAAGTATAATTGCGGATAGAAGAAGTGAAAAGAAAATGTTTCCTACGCCACATGTTTCTGTCTGAGACCATAATGGTAAATAATAAGAATCATACAAGAACACAATAAAGGCAGAGATACCCACAGCGATGAAAACAGCCTCCATTCAATCACTGCGATGGTGGGGATGGAGGGGACTGGTTGATCTCATCCTGTCCCCTCCAATGCAGGCATGTGAGACAAGCTGGCTTTGCTGATAATGTCAAAGCCATCTATTTTCATGCGGTGTCTGAGGAGGGCTGTGTGTACCGAGGCTGCGAGGGGCTGTTTCTCCCCAACGCTGTTTATTCTGCAGAGGGGCAACACATGTCAGGAATACTGATCCGCATACGCGGTGAAAAGGGACGTCTTTGGCCAAGTGTACGCATAAATATGCACATGCCAAGCGCAGCACCTCACTCTTTTGCTGCTCTTTCATGTCACTCACGAGAGTGATGCCAATTCCAAATCAAGAGGCACATGGCATGTTTTTCTCACTTTGATTGACAATATCTGATCGGCCTCTGTCAGGTTGCTTGTTAAAAACCCCTCTGACATGGTATTCTTCATGGTCCGGGCTGCATTGACATGAGGGCATGTATAGCACATATATAAGAAGCAGATATTCTCCTCACAAGGCTTTCTCTCTCACAAGCTGGAGCAGAGACAATTTAAGAGATGAAAGCAGAACCAACACAAGTACTGTAGGTTTTTCTCTCTCGAGACTGCGCTTTTAACAAACTCACATGTTCATGTAAATGGCATTAAATGAGATTTTAAAAAGTTGTGAGCACAGAGGGGGGCCAGAGTTGTACTAATCCCCTTGCCCTATATTTATCTAATCTGGGCATTAGTGTGCGCAGGAAATGAACTGCATGCTGTTTCCTCTGTGATAGACGACCACAGAGACCTTTTCACTTGAAGGTGAAGGCCTTCACACCGACTGCAGGCGTTTATCAACATTTAAGGTTCAAATTCACCTTACTGGCAAATGACCTACACAAAAAGTCTATGTTCATTATTTACAGATAAGCGCAGCAAAAACACCTTGCGCCAACAATTTAAGATGTCAATATCAAGTTTAAAATCTATGGACCCAATTTAAAAACATTGGCAAAGACACACTCAGAGTTTTAAGACAACTTAGTGCAGTGCCCGTTCTAAACCTGCCTGTTTAATGGGCCTGTGGTGATGCTGGTTGCAGCATTCTCTCTGTAACTGTAAATGTGCCCTGCAGCAATTGACCCACGGCAAGTAAAGACAGGCTGCTGGACTCGGTCTGCAGAACCATGATGGTGCACCACCGCTGCACAAAGAGCTGTTCATCTGTTTATTCAAAGTTCAGTGGAGCTCAAGTCAGTGTGTGGATCAGTTGTCTTGAATGTGCCAGTTGACAACGTCACTTGCGTTGATGAGTCCTAGAGCCGCTGCTGCTGCTACAGAGCACTGGTCACCTCTTTATTCAAAGTTTGTTAATATTGAACGTATCACGTGTCCAAATCACATCTTCCTTCAGCCATTACAATCCACATGCCAAGTTTGAACATGATCAAATGAACAGTTCTCCAGATTTGTGAGGGAGAGACAGACAGACAGAGATTTCTGGCATTAGTGGATAGACCTGCGCATACATGCGTATTGCATTTAGAGAAAAAAAAACAGCTATTCTATATTCAGCTGGCAAAACGTCAGAAGAGCAGTTCGAGTAAGTTAGGTGAAGTTGCAGGTGAATTAAATTTTTCTCACAAGAGACTCTGATAGTAATTCTGGTTCCAATTTCCATGATGCCTCTCTAGCAGTAAGTCGAACAAGGCCAGAGAGAAGACGGCAGCACATCCAGAAAATCCTATTTCTGTTTTCTGCCCTTTAATAGCTTTTTTCCCCCCAGATACAATCATCTCGGACAGCTGCAGACACGCCTCTCACCTGTATCCATTCTGGGTGTCGACGCAGGTCCCCCCATTGAGGCAGGGGTTACTCGGGTAGGAGGAGCAGGGCTGGTGGGTCATCTCCCTGGCAGCGCAGCCACAGACAGCTGAGGACGTCACCTTCACCGAGACGAGGGAAAAGGCACCTGAGTCTACCAGGGTGGGCGAGTCACTGATGCTCAGCTGTGTGGAGCAGCCGCCGGATGTCTTGCAGTCTGTGCGCACACACTCGTCCACCTGCACCTGGTTTACGCTCACACGCAGCATGGACTGCAGCTGTGGAGAATCAGGACAGGGAAGAAGGGAGGAAGTGAAGGGAAGAAAAATGGAAATTACAATAATTTTCACTTAGAACACAAGGGCTCATATCTCCAGTGTTGGTGGTGAGGGTGAAACACATAAGAGGGCCGGCAAATGAAGAATGCAAGTCCTGGTCTACACAGATGTGTAGTTTAATTGGGAATGGGCAATTATTTAAATATTTTTGGCGTCAAAAGCAATACAACAAAACATAAATACTGATTTAATGAAGTGCTTAAATGTTGTGAAAGCACAGTGAGGAGGTAAAACAGGTGATCTACCTCAGGCTTGTAAAATGTTCTGCTGTTTATCAAATGTTTAAAACCAAAACCTTCCCTCAGGAGCAAAAAATCTGCTTTGAAATATAAAAGAATGTGACATTTATTGTGATAATCTGATCACTCTTACTTCTTAATATTCCATAACTGGTTGTTTATAAAGCATCGAGTCGAGCATGACACTCATATCAAGATGATGCCCAATTAAAATATGGAAGAAAGAACGCTTGTCACAAAAAGAGAGAGACAAAGACAACGAAAGAATGGGCGAGACAAAGAGACATGACAGGGCCAAGCAGTAAACAGACAGAAAGTTGGTGTGGAAATAAGAGGGCAGATAAAAGGCCTTGTTATCTCCTCCCCCCGAGCTCCCAGGTGTATCGCTTGATATACGAGCATTGATCTCTATCTATCAGACAGGGTGGGACATATACCTTCTTTTTATGTGCAGCGAGGACAGCGTGCAGCTTTTCTGGGCGCAGGTAACCATTATCAGTTAGCACGTAGAAATGAATGTCCACCGTTCTGTCCTCTCTGTCTTCCATGCTGAAAATGTTGATGCTCCCCGATCTGACGGGCAGGTTTCCAGACAGGAAGTCCCACAACATCTCGAGCCGACTCTTGCCCTCGACGCGAGATTCGATGAAATCTCTCACCGTGATGCCTTCAGGAGACAAAGGGGGGAGGAGGGATTCAGGCAGTAAGAACTACTGACTCATCAATGACAACTGCAGAGTTGATCAAAGTCTACTGAGCTCCTGCTTCCATTAGTGCAAGACGTAGCCTGACATCTCCCTCTATTGATCCATTTCCTCACTGGATCATCCATAAGGTGAATGAATCGTGCCGTCATATATTTCTCCTCTCAAATTAAGTTGGGGTCCTTGAAGGTCTGCCTTGCACAAAATATTTTAATGACCGGAAAAATCAATCATATTTGTGGTTCCACCTTCCAATAATATCTGGAGAATGTGGGCAGTCATCTTCTATTCTAATCTCCAAAAATGATAATGACTTGGAGTCAGAGGCATCCATAATAGTCTCTGACTCTCCCCGAATGGCTTTTTAAATGTCAAGGACTTTACCTGACACTTCCAAATTGACCTTTATAACTCCAATTTGCTCTGAGAGACTGACAGAAAAATGAACACTCTAACATAAACTTCAGAGTGTTGAAGAAGGAGGAAACTGCTTCCAACAAGCGCTGTGAACAGTCGCTTTTTACAAAGCTTAGAAATGCTAAATAATGCAAGTCGAAAGATTCCTCTTGACAGCCTATTATTTCAGCATTTACTGGATTGACAACCTGATAATCATTCAATGAAAAGCACCAATTTATTCATGCCTGTGGTCTGTCTCTTTCAACATTGCCATCAAAAAAAAATATTTTACAAAAGCTGAGACAACAAAGAGCAGACTTTGTATTTTGTGGGGGAAGGGAAGGCCACGCAGAGACATAACAGGTAAACCGAATCACCCAAACACATGTAGAGCGTCAGTCAGTCAACATTAATGCATTTATACCACCAGGTGAGGGACGAACGTTCACCTGTCAAACGCAGCGAGGCGGACGACAGGATGGCCTTTTCCTCCAGCTCCCTGACATGCACTCTGACGCCTGACATCACGTCGGGCCACACCCCATCGGACACCCCGACCCGCAGCCAGTAGCTGCCCACTGGAGTGTTCTGTCGGATGGTCAGCACGCCCGTGCTCTGGTTCAGGCTGAAGTATCTGAGAGAAGCAGAGGGGGCTGTTAAGTGGGAGAGGACGGCTTCCTTTGGGAGATGAGTGATTGGCTCTTGTTGTTTCTGAGCTTTTACTACAGAGGCAAAAAGAAAAAAATCTCTGACAGATCACAGTCAGACAAGCAGCTGAACGGGTCAGCTGTGGTTTCCAGCAGGAAGGGAAATGGAATCAATTCTTCCAAATAAATCAAAAACTACAGAGAAACCAATTCCTTGGCTCCTAAAAAGCTTGTAAAAGAGCTTGATGGTTGTCATGGCGACTGTCAGAATGAATTATATGAATAAAACAAATATGCAATCTGTATTCCAAATATGTTCTGAGGGTGTGAATACTAAATAGTTGTACAAGGTCCCTGATGGAGACAGACCATGCTTGTACACGCTGTTCCATCTTGGAAACATCGTATAGGTGGACCAGGATTGCTTACTTTGTTTGAGTCTAATTGCATTGTCTAGAAAATAGGCAATGCTCAATGACTGTTGACGGCTATGATTAAAGTCTGTTCGGAAAGCGAGGCTTATGAGGGGGTCAGAGAGTTGGATGTAAGATTAGGAGAAGTACCTGTTAGGCTTGTTTCAGGCTGAGTGATATCACTGAAAAAGGCCCCGTTGGAGAAACACAGCCACAACGCTGAGTCCACATCCTCTTTATTTTTCAAATTCCACACTGTTGGCAGTTCTTCTGGTACTGTACTGCTCTAGCACTTGTACTTGTGCTGTATATTTGGAGATCAGCATGTTTTCAGAGAAAAATTCAATGCATTTAACAGTGAGCGCTTACTTGGCTGCGCTTGTCTCCAGAGTGTAGGTCTTGTTGTCCCAGTCATCAGGATCTGGGGCATACACCTTCCCCAGTGCTGCATTTGTCATCCTTCCTGTTCAAGGTAAACACACACACATGCACGCACATGCAGGCATGCACACACACACACACACACATACACTGATTTGGTCTGGACAGAATCTGCTGATGCCAACACTTATCTTTACCTCCCTCTCTTCTCCTTATCTTGCATTCTTGTGTTCTGTTCTACTTATTATGCTCATAACTGTGGAGCCCCACTGCTGGAATGAATAGACTCTCAGTGCTCCACTTCAGAGAGCGTGGAGCTTAAGGAAGCAGGGCTATCTCAGTATGGATTATGTTATTATCGACCTGCAGTGCCAGAGTACTGCAGCTGGGTAAACAATGGCAGCCTGGATGAGTCACGGCGTTCCTGTTTTCCACAATTACCAAAACAGCCATTTAGCTGAGTGCGCGGTTAAAACACTAACAAGGCAACGCACCAAACCAACTTACCTGCAGGGTAAAAACTCAACAGAAAGAGATGAATAGTGATTCCATAATGTGAAGTTCATATGAGCTTTAGGCGTGGGGTTGGTGGGGGGAGAGTGTGCAAAAGGCTTGAGAGAGGATTTGACAGGGATATTATCATAACAAAACCCTGTTAGAATGTAAAAGGAAGAGAGAAATTATGAATTCCAGACTACACTGAGCAGGTGGGGGGAGCGAAAACTTTCCCTTCAGCTGTATCCTCAGTTTCCCCTCTTCACTGAGGCTCTGCCTGCTGAGCAAAGCTCTGTAGCGTAAACAAGTGGCAAAGAGGATGAAATGAGGGGGAGCAAGCGACTCACCCTTGCGGCCGTACACATAGACATCTTTCTCTCCAGCCTGATGGGCATTGTCATTCTGGTCACCGATGGTGATTGTGAGCGTGTTCGTTGCCGTCATTGGTGGATCTCCGCTGTCTATCATAATCAATGGCAGGTGGAACTCACTCTGCCTCTCCCTGTCGAATCGCCGCAGGGCAGTGAGTGTGGCTGAGCTGTTCCCGTGATCCTGCAGGTGGAAGTCGGTAGAGTAAAGAGGGGGTAGGGAGAGGTAGAACGGAGGCCCGTGCTCTGGCGAGTCCCTGTCCAGGACATAGAGCAGAGTTGAGCTCGCGTTTAGCCAGACCACTTGAGGTGGTGGACTGTTCTCCCACAACACGGGGGCGTAGACCATCTCCAGCTCCGGCCCGTTGTCGTTCATGTCTAACAGCGGCAGGTGGACTGTGACACTGCCAGTCAGTGCCGGGGAACCCTGGTCTGTCGCCATGATGACAAGTTCATAACCTGCCACTGTCTCCCTATCCAAAGGCCTGGCGACTGTGACCACTCCGGCTCGACTGACTGAAAAATGTCCATATGGGTCAGAGTCGGGGTGAATGCTGTACAAAATGTCCCCGTTCAGACCCGAGTCATTGTCAGTGGCCACAACCTGAATTACACTGGTTCCTACACTTGTGTCCTCGGACAAAGGAGTGAGCAGGTGGGAACTCGGGTCAAACACAGGGACGTTATCATTCTCATCCTCCACTTGCACCAGACAGTGGATGAGGCTGGAGAATTCAGAGTCCTCCACTTTAATCGTGAGGTTGAACCGCTGCTTCCCAGGCTTCTCAAAGTCCAGCTTCTGCTTCAGTCTCAGAGTCCCTGTCTGGTCCAGTCTGTGGCTGACCATGTAGTACTGTTGCTCTGGGTCTCCAGCCACCACGCTAAAGGTCAGCTGTCCATACATGCCAGCATCCGGGTCCACGGCGCTCAACTCCAGAATTGGAGCGTCCTCTTTAGTGCTCTCTGGCACACGAGCGCCGCACCAGTCCTCTCTAAACTTTGGGACGTGGTCATTGATATCTGTTATGATTATAGTGGCAGTAGCTGTACCCGTCATGCCCCCACCGTCCCGGGCCTCGACAACGAGCCGGTGGTTTTCAGTAAACTCCCGGTCCAGACCCTCTGCTGCTACAGATATGGTGCCAGTGCTAGAATCAATAGTGAAGAGGTCGACATTTTTCGTGTTGTGCGCATTCTCAATAATCCTGTAGGTGAGGATTGCGTTCTGACCTACGGCTGCATCGTCAAGGTCTATCGCTGTCATTTCCACAACAAACGCCCCAGGGGGGGAGTTCTCCGCCACACTACTATGGCAATTATCCGGGGCACAGGAGAAAGTGGGGGCATTGTCATTGATGTCCCACACATTAATAATCACATCCGTAAAGCCGGTAAGTCCCTCACCCTCTTCGTCTGTTGCCATGACAACAAAGCGCCAGACGGCACGCTCCTCTCGGTCCATGGTGCGCTGGGCATACATTTCCCCCGTGATGTCGTTGATCATGAAGTGTGACTCTGCCCCTTGGCCATGAATGGAATACCGTATGGCGCCCTGGTCTGCATCTTTGTCTGGGTCAGTGGCTGTCACCTGCGGAGAAAAAGACAACTTCTTAAGAAAATGGATATTCATTCATCCAGTCAAACCTAAATTACAGCTTTCCTCTTATCTCCTTTCAGCCGTCATTTGGGTCTTCTTTGCTTTTGGATTTCTGTTTTCGACAGCCCACTTAAGTGCACTTTTTTCCTGACCACCTTATTTAAAGCAATGAGCTCTGATCAGGCATGTTTCTTGTATCTGGGCTTAAAGTGGGTCTGACAGCCTCAAAGCTGAATTTCTTTTCCTCACGAGATTCATCACGACATCTCCAACTGGTCAGATCTTTTTGTGAGGTTGCCGATTTAAAAAACCTGAAAATACTGCAGTGCAAATCCTGTTAGCAGTGATGATCTCTGTCTCTCACCTGTAGTACAAACACTGGTGACCCGTCAAGCTCCTCTGTGACAGATCCATAGTACTCATTCATGGAGAACACCGGTGCCTCATCATTCTTATTCACCACAGTGACCACCACAGCGGCATAGTCTTCCCACTTCCCGTCGGACGCTAGGACCAGTAGCTTGTATCTCTTCTGCTGCTCATAGTCCAGTGGTTGTGCAATAAAAATCGTCCCCACCTCTGGCTCAATGTCAAAAACGCCACCTTTGTTGCCGGACGTTATCTGGTAGCGCAGCTTGGCGTTGGCCCCTGTGGTAAGAATAATAAAATGCATGAGTGAGAATGTGAAATAACCCTCCTTATTCCTTAAAGAAACATTATTAGGATAAGACAAGTGAAATCTGAAGGCGAGGCATGTATATACATAGGTGGACCAACATGCTGGATAAAAATAAAAGTAAAAGTAAATCTTCTTTTCTTTATTGTATCAGGAGTACTATAATCCTGGCAACATCAGAAGGGCATAACCACAAGGGTATTACACCTCATTTCCTCTGAGACCTCAACATTAGTAGGTTTCCATGTATCCCTTTCTTGTTTTGATTACTTAATTAAACAGAAACTTTGTTCCTTGTCTTTTCGGCTTTAATCAGATACTAATTAAAAAAAAAGGGAGAGTACGGGAGAGAAAAGCAGCATAACACACTCTGATAGAGCCCTCAAGGGAATGATTGCGAGACCTGAGAGAGGATGGAGTGATGTGGTCTAGTAGCGGCAAAGTTCATATCTCAACTTATCTACTGTGTCTCCATGGAGACCATCCAATCTACTGGTTCAACACTGGAATTGATAAAATAATCTCCCAGAATGAACAGTTTTTGCTTTCAATCATGCTGTTGGGTTAAAGTAGCTACAATCCGATCTAAATACACTAATCTGCACTATTAACACAACCCTGGCTGACAAAGTGCTCCCTGCCTCCCACAGGGATCTGCCAGGCTTACAGCAGCCAAGCCCAGGGTGGAGTTTTTAAACAAGACAGATTGAGGGTAGCCTCTCAGACGCAAGTGCAACAGTATTGTAACTATAATGTTGGGGGTTGGTGTTATTCCAGAGCAATTCATCATTAGTGCCGCAGCTCGGCCTAAGCTGCACCCCCGCTCGCCATAAATACTTGATTAACGGACCTAAACATGCCTGATAAAGGGATCTTAGGCTGCTGCTGTACGGAGGATGAGCAATTGCTTTATTGCTTAAATCCCGCCCACCTACTGTGTGGGAGCGTGTCACTCTTTTTGGAACATATGTGCTGCAGTGCATTACCGAGCACTTAAATGACTGCTGCTAAATCTAGCACACGGCAAGATTTCAGCAGCATGATTTCAGCAAAGCTCAGGACAAATTGAGAAAGACTGCTCACAGGGTCACTTTATGCATACTGCTACAAACCCAGGCAATCTTGCAACAACAACAAAAAAGTGCCTACTTGGCACACAAGTCACTGCTGGAAAAATGGCCGAAATAATTCTGTTATTTCAAGAGAGAGAGAGAGAGTCTGGTGAAAGATAGAGAAAGTGCAGCATGGAAACCTCTGGAGTTTCAAAGTGGCTCACGAAAACTTTAATATTGGTTCTGGTTGGCTAGATTCTTTAACCTTTATTTCTGAGAAGCGGCATCAGTAAAATCTTACTGGGGACCTCCTCAGTCTGCTGCCTCATCATGCGTACCTTCATCTTCGTCATTAGCACTAACGGCGACAACAGTCAGGCCCACATCTGCATTCTCATCGACGCCGACTTCATACAGTCGCTGAGCAAAGAGAGGTTTGTTGTCGTTGACGTCGCTGATGAAAACCCTCACATATGCTGTGTCTGCAAGAATGACAGAATGGAAGAAGATTAGAAGACACAGTACACAAGCAAACACAGACAGACACACACACACACACACACACACACACACACACACACACACA